ACCATTTATACTATGCTTTAAAATATATATTGTTAACTATAGAAATACTATTAACCTTTTAATTTGAATGCGCTGTCTACATCATAAATGGGGGCCATTTTGTGAATCTGAGAAATGATGCAAGCAAACCCTGCTTGTAAAATACCAGGCTTTGAAACACAATGACTTGCCTTTATAGTTATTGACTTTCGGGATCAGTTCCAAACGAAGTATAACCTCACAAGGGTTAGCATACGTAACCACAACATATAGAGCTTCAATTGATCTTCTGAATTGCAATGTTAAAATGCGGCATTGGAAATTTATTAAAAACCATTCAAGTTGTATCTTTTAGATAAGTAAAACAGTAAAACAAAACTTACGTTGTCAGCCAACTATTGTGGGGTTCTGAATGTTGTTGAAATGCTGCACATAATAATTTCAAGGGCCTTTTCGCCATGTTATAACAAATTCCTTTCAAAACATCTTGCTCTGTGAATGGCAAACTTAATCAGTTTTTATATTACCTATTGACAAGATCATGCAGACATCTTCTGGCTAGAGTTTTCAAGAACCCTTGATTTGCTGCCACAGGAAAGAAGTTTATCAGATGGCATGCCATAATAACTAGGAAGTACAGATGTAGATTAATTGTAATAATCAAGGGCGGTTCTAGATGTGGATTGTGATTCTCGAATCTTTATACTCCAATGGAATAACAAAATATTTACTAATGTTTGTTAACAAGTCGTCAGTTTACCCCTTATAGGGGCGTTGCATAGTCTACAAACTGACAATCTCATGATACATTATAAAATGAAGAATAAATTCTTGTAATAAACAAACATGTTTGTAATATTAGGGCAATTTAATTACCGGGTAAGTACATACGTAGGTCCAGGTCTGAATACGAACTTACAAACATGTCCGAATAGCGGCCGACCCTTAAATTCAAATGTGCACTAATTACAAATGCAACTGTCGGCAAATTAGAATTGATTATAATGATTTTAAAATCCATGACAAAACAAAAATCACAAAAAGATACCAATAAAAGGAATGCTAACACGGAAATCTTTTGTTTGAAATATTTCAACTCAAACTGTTTAATTCTTTCACACATAAATAATAAACTAAATGAAGAATATTTTATATGGAATGAAGAATGAAGGACGATCGATATATGGATAATGCCAGAATTACCTCAATTCCCGTTTTTCATTGTTTTCCTAAACGTCTTTGATAAGAAAATGTTATTAACATTGTTAACCTAGATTACGTGACTAGAAATAGTCTTATTGTATTAACTTATAGAATCTCAAAGACAGGTAAACTCATAGATAACTCTGGTTATACATATCTTATTAATTCAATTACACACATAGCTTGATCACTCGGTATCTGTGTACACAAGGTCGCTATAATTATGCGGTTTGGAAGTGGAAGATACACACGTACATCTAACACCAAATGGGGAAAAAAAAGAAAATCAAATACTTTGAAAATCCGGAAAAACAAAACAGAAATTCAAAAATTTTGAAATGTCACATAGGGGCCCCCATAAGGGAAATAACGTCCTACTTTTCTGCACCGACTGGGCTAATGAAGACGGACGTACGCCAGGCAGTGTGTTATGAGAGAAATTTGCCCAGACATCGTCGCCACGACCTACTTTTATTTCGAATTCCAACTGTCAAGGGTTCTTTTACATGCACGTCAATATGTAGAAATCGATGGTCGTAACAATAGCCACAGGACTATTTTTACGACTATTCAGTTTTTAACTTCGCCGATGGACTCGTCGTAACAATAGCCACTGCGTTACACATTTGTTTTTGACATTTCACAAATTTAATAAAGAAGTTTGCCAAAATGTACAATAGTCACACAATTATATATCACGGAGACATACAGTGTACTATGAGGGAAACGTTGCCCGGACAGCAGCGCTACGGCCTACTCTTATTTCGAATTCCAACTGTCAACCACTGCGACTCCCAAAAAGAAATCGATAACCTCCAGTCGTAGCTAAAAACCAACACAGACCTAGGTTTTACCAAGTATAGTATACATTTTCAGTCCTAGGACTTTAAGCGAGGGTCCAGAGGCCGCCTAGACCCCGGAAGCTCCTGGGGGTCTAGACCGTCGGAGATGCTTTCTAAGCGATTTCTGGCTAGTAAAATTACTCAGCATTGAAGTTTTTATGGGTTTTTTTTAAACCCTTACCATGAAAGCACTGCAAACGATGGTGATTTCCTGTGGTACTGAACTGGACAAATACATGTATATGCATAATAAATACCAAGGTTGTGGACACAATTTTTATCCGATTTTATGTATGTTTATAACCCAAAGATCTCGGTTCCTGTCGATATTGGCGCATATCGCACCGTAACCTCTTGGATTATGGCCCCTGATTGTACGAAAAATCACACTTTTAGCTTGTGGACCCTCTAGACGTAACAATTTTTATTGATTGAAAAAACCGTTCAAATATACCGCAGTTACACCATTACGGCTGAGTTCAAATTCAAAGTTCAAATGGCCGCCCCCCTTTATGCAAATAGTGTAAAAGCATATAACACCTGCATGTCGTGGACCACCTAGAGGTCACAATTTATTTCTGATGTGCGCTTATCGGACCGTTAACTTTCTGGATTATGCGGACTGATTACCACTTGGCATCGTATTCTACGCAAAATTTTACTCTCGAAAAGTTGGGTCTGGTTTTGTGCCCATTTGATGGACACCCCCCGCGCTGAGCCTCCGGTCTATTTACGCAAATAGTGTAAAAGTATGTAATACCATGGTTGAAATAATTTTTATCCAATTTGGATTAAACTTAAAATGAGTGTTTAAGTATCACTAGTTCTTAGGTGAGTTTGGTGCACACCGGACCTTCCGTTCTCGAGTTATGCCAAATGCCTTTTACGCAAAATGTGAAATATGAATGAAGTTTGTTGTCCTCCTGGGATGAAAATTAAACTATGTGTTGAGGATCAAAAGTTCTTGGATGAGTTTCATTTTGGTACGCATGAAACCTTCCATTCTAGAGCTTTAGAACCTGCTATAGAATTTAGCAAAACTATATCCCGTTGTGTTTTAATTAGCCAATATGTCATAGATTCAATGGAAATGAGATGAAATGAAATATTCGACTGCTCAGTAAAGTTAACTAATCGCGACCTTCGCAACTGGGGGCTCTTAACCCAGGGATCAATATATTGAATAGCAGGGTTTTTTCTTCTGAAATTCTACGTTATACTTCTAGGAGCCTCACTTCTATATTAAAATCAGGTCTCTTCGAGTTACGTCACTGTATCTGAATATTTACTTGCGTCCTGGAGAAAAGAGTACTTGCGGCCAAATTATTGGGGGTGTCCTCCCACTTGCACCCCCCACCTCCGCCGGGCCTGTGATATTTGACACACACTGGGTGTAACGATACTAGTACTAGTATGATACATTGTTTAATGAACTGGAAATACACGGAACACAATACAATTACTGTTTAAATAACCGAGTTGATAAATAGCCCGACCAGAAACTAGTTGATAAAGTGCCCCGTGCATAGGCGTACGGGGAAATTTTTGACTGGGGGGGCGGTGGTGGTTGGTGCCCAAAAAATGTAGTAAGGTTTTTAGTATGTTACATAATAATAATAAATTTGCTGTTAAATTGGACACATTCAAGAACACAATATATACAACTTTTACAAAGTACAATTGTGTGCCCAAATTTTCCCAGCATTTGGTGCCCCCCCCCCCCCAGCCCCCCCCCCCCAGCTCGTACGCCTATGGCCCCGTGTATAGAAGGATACAATGAGGATTTTTAGAAAACCGCTTGTATACTGTATACATTTTTTGGCGGGGGGCACCTTGAATATTCAAGTGCCCTTTTTTTCCAACCCTCCAAAAAGAACAAATTACATTTTTAATGGTTTGGGGGATTGAAGATACTGTCCAGAACAGGTCGTGCAAAAATCTCGCATGATCCACGTTTTGATTTTGACACAGCGAAGGTTGATTTTCTTGAATTATTTGTCTGTCTAATAATGATTCGTATTTAAATACCTCAAAAGGCTTTAAATCAGTAATAGTACACGAGACACTTTGATACCTTTCGTGTTAACTTCCGATTACATATAATCCAGTACAAAAACTGTTTTAATTTTCAGATTTAGATATTGATTCTTAAAAAACTTGATAATATAGTTTATTAAATCATAATCGCGATCCTTGACAGATTTTAGATACGCCCACATTTTCATGTGGATGTATATTGTCTCGGGACACTTATCCAGGAGCCTGGAGCCTAGAGGGGCCCGGAGGTATGAAGAGCGATGTTTTAAAAAACATACACTGTTATTTGATCGTAAAGTAGAAGAAAACCGGTGACTTTTCTGAATGCAGGTACCTAGTGGCATGTATAATATTAGAATCAGATTCTGTCAGTTCAATTCTTTTTGGAAAATTGGTAAATTAAAAACTATAAGCCACCTGCCCAGGCCTTAGCGCCATGGAGCCCCAGTGTAATTTGATTGGAAATTACATGAAAGAGAAAACAAAATTGGGGTAAGATAGATTGATTTATTAATTTTCGATCACTTTATGAAAATGTCGGACTTCATCATACTTTTACCGAGGATCTATGCCTATTTATTATATATAGTTTATATTATCGTGTTAATGTGTATACTATTTTAGGTTTTACTTCATGTTACGGATCTTATCACAAATATGTTTTATTTCTAAATCTATATTTGCGATTATTCTCAACGTAGGGTAACATTTTACGGAATTGTATGTTAAGACAATTAAAGCAATTAATTATTGTATATGATAAGTTTTTCTTGGTGTATATCTAGAAGTTATTACAATTCATATCCATATGCAAAGCCACTGTGCTCCGTTTACCTTCTTTGTGGGTTTGTGTTAACCTGTGCATTTGAACAGCGGGACAGACGAAAAATTCATTGAGACCGTCTACTCTATTCTACATGGGAAATAGATGGAATTATAGTCAAATGCTTTTAGCGCTCCATTAGATTCTACTCTTCCTTGCTTCACTTGAATTCACTACAAATACACGAGGTGCCTTAAATAATTATTTTTCTTCCGAACAGCCAAGAGAACAATAACTCGTAATTTTAACCGCTGGTGTTTGAGATAAGACGGCTATCGCGAAGGACTGGGGAATATTATGCACATGTATTTGCAGGATAGCAGAAGTAGCGATCAGCACTTCCTGATTTACAACCGTGTTAAAAGACGCCTGCAGTCTTACAGAAATCATTTTTGACACAATCTATTCAATTAGCTGGTCGAACAACTGTAACAAGAATTTTGCAACTTTTAATTAGTTATTCTGAATAATTTACAAAGAGCGACAAGAGCGCGTGTTAGGGTGGGTCCATTTTTGGCAGCTGCCTCCGGGAATGTATGAGTAGTAAAAGATACAAGAAGAGTGGATACCAAAACATCGTGTAGTTCAGAAAGGCGCGCTACTCGAGTCAACCATGCGAACCGATTGGCTTCAGGAGTGATGTTACCTCCATACTCCATACACACTGGTCTGATATGTGAGTACTTTTACCTATCTTTCTAAACATTGATAGGGCAGAACTGATATGGTTCTAGGGAATTGTCACTTTTCCACCAACACGTGGATTTCTACAAAATTGCCACCAATTAACGGCTGTTTTTGTAATCAATGTCGCATTTACTTCATTTTCTACACACGTTTGATGCAATTTTCAACATCACTAAAATAAATAGGGCTGTCAAATCGATTTAAAACTGTTGATTGTCTGAAACTAGAGTTACATAGTTATCTTGTATTAACTTTACAAATACATGATGATATTTGGAAGAGAGTGGATGTGTCGTCTGCTGTAGTTCGCGCCTCGTGCGCTCTATGACGGAGCCTATATTGAGAGATTTGATGTTTACGTTCGGTAGGTGTTCCAATTTTGTTTTCTCTCTGATCTTTTACCCCGGTTAAGGTTCACTTTTTCCGTCCGATATACATTTGTTTATTTTCTTTATCTGTCAAAAAGAGATGTTTTTCACTGTATTATGAGTTGAGGTAAAATACGGTGCCATCATATTCTGGTAAAATAATTCATTTCAGAAAGTTGTTGTATTTTATCTCTGGAATAACATATAAGATTAACCCCCGTATTGATTGACAACTCTTGGCTTTATATTTCGTATTGGTTTCTATTGACCATTATTTAAACCAGAACCTTTTTTTCCGCGATCAATACTGATCTATAGATTGGATAAATTAATGTCTTTTTAGTGAGCATGGATATTGTCAGTTTAGTTCCTGCCAGGTTCCCGACTATAGTATTGGATAGTTTGTATGTAAAAGGTATCAGTTTGTCTAAATCAACATTGACATTCATGTTTTGAATAATCCATATATAAATTATTTTTAAAGTTTTTTTATCATATACAGTTTATTGTTAAGGAGCTAGTTAAAAAGAAAATCTATATTTTGTTCTATCTGTTCAATATAACATATACAACTGATTTTATTATCTACCAGTAGTTATTTAAGGAAAGTCAAACCATTAAATGTGGGTTTTATGCTTCAAAATACCAAAATAAAGGTTAAATATAGACATATCATACACAATCAAAAGTACTTTTATTTAAAAATATCAAAAAACATTTTGGTCCAAATATTATTTAAATTTAGCATTTGAAGTTTATATTGGTTTCTGTTGATTTCACATTGCCATCTTTATCTATCTTAGACAAATACAGTAATACATATTATGCTGTCTTTTTGTACAAGCCAGTCTATTCTACATGAAGCTCTTTTCATGCTTTAATATCTTATAACAACACTCTTCACAATAAGATACTGCATATTTTTGACCTTTGAAATATATGTGAATGATCTGGCTTGTTGTGTCCCTAAGGGTGTTAAAAGGGTTATTATGAACAGGTTTCTTTTGAATGTTATCCTATCTTAATCAGGGGCAGATCCAGAGGGGGGGTTTGGGGGGTCGAAACCCCCTCCCCTGCTCAGCTACAGAAATTTTTTGTAAATCAAAACTTTTTATGAGAAAAGTCTCCCACCGTGTGCTTTATCCTTTATCATCAGATGTTAGACAGGATGTGCACTCAAAGCACGAGATAATGATATAGACATTATGTGATATCACAATTGATGCTTTGCATCCATGAAATTGAATCACAATGTCATTGTATTAATTCATAATAAAATTGACGTCAAACGAGATGTTGAATTTCTCTGTTTAAAAAGCTCAATATGTATTATATACACCAAAATGACGATAGAGGCAATGTGGGGGGGGGGGGGAGATACATTGTCTCAGGAACCTGGCAAACCCCCACCTGCAAAAATTCCTGGATCCGCCCCTGTTAATAATTCATTAATGAAGATTGTTTTTTTATGGTATAACTGTATGGAAAGATAGAAAGAACTATCTGATCTTAAGTTCATCACAATCAAGAAAAAAACAATCTACAAGTATATCTTACTTCTTTTGTATCAGGAAATGTCTTTAGCAATACAACATCTCTTAATATGTTAATGTAGTTTGGAGAATGGTAAAATGCCATGCATGCTGTCTAAACTGGGTGATTTCAAGACATTTTAATGTGTTACATGTTCTTTGATAGAAGATCTATGTCTTTGTGAAATACCAGCTTAGCTTGATATTCTGGCCACTACTCCAACACCTTCAGACAAAGTAAAATGATTTCTGTAAGGAGAATGCCAAAGTTAATGGCTTGATAAATAGAATTTACAGAAAACTAAAAACTATCATGCTTTAAAATATATTATAAATCTTTTTTAAAGATATAAATAATATTTTTTGATTATGATATATGTGGATTCTAAAGTTTGTCATAAGTAATATATTATAAATATACACATATTTCTAAGTTAAAAATATCTGAGCAATTTGACTGATGAAATGGTGAAGTATAGAGATTTACTTACTAGATAAACAGAAAAACACAAAAAAGCATTGAAAAGTGATCTTTTGATATCTGTAAAAACATAATTTTAGGCTAGTATTGTTTACCAAATATACATTATACATGTTGTTTTTATTAATGTCATATATAGTTTGTTATCAAATAACTATATCAAAATATTTTCTCCAACCAGTTGTTTTTACGAAAAATATGTGAATGAAGACTTAACTAAGTGAAATTGTTTTCAAATGAAATGAAATCAACATTTTATCATGTTTTCAATAAATAATACTTAACTTGCTGCTAGAACACACACAGAGAGCAGCACTAGCATAGATGGAAATGATTTTAATAGCTAGATTTTAAGTGGACTGAATACCAAGTATATTGTTCTCCCATCATTTCAATAATTTGGGAGAATATCATTTCTGCTATTACAAACTAATATTTATTCATGTTTTTGTGGTTCTTACTTCTTAGTAATGTCTGTGTGGACCAAATAAAACTAATTTGTTCCCTCAATTCCAAGCAGTTATAAAAATTATAGGTACATAAGGCTTTAAGCTTAATCCAAATTTCCATATGCATAGCTAAAAATGGTTTAGTAATTCATGACTATACAGCCACATAGTATCTGATCATTGAAGTTGAAAATTCATGAGTTATATTCTGGAAACCTAAATTCCCTGAAGACTTTAAAAGTGCCAGTAGTACAAAAATCAAGACAACCACAATTGATTGTTACCAAAAGTGAAAATCCAATGTACAAATTCTATACAATAGTACAAAGTGGTATCAGTGTTCTTGAATAGCAAAGTGTAGGGTACCCATTCAATGACTAATCATCACTGCCATTTTGAGTTTAATTAAAACTGAAACATTAAGTTATACACAGTACTAAATAGATTTACAGCCATGACAGACTAAACTAGAAAAAAGCCTAAATGACATGTTCTAAAATTTTATTCTGGTATTCATTTTCATATCAAATATTTAGTTTGGTTTGGAACATTTTTTTATGTAAGTGCATCAAACTAAGGATTAGATCAAGATCTGGCCATTCTTGCTCTAGTAGTTTAAATATAGATAATGCAAAATGAATATATTGAAAATTTCATTCAAATTACCAGTAATAAGCAGAATGTTATTTGCAGTTGTAGTTAGAAGGTCAGTAGAATTTGATTGCTTGGATGTAATCCCATAACTCCTGATCAAAGTGAACTGAAATCAATATGGCTTCAGATGCAAGTAATGGATTGACCATACAAGATTAAATATCCTATCTATTTGTTTCTCTATTATCAAAGGTTAAAACAACTCTTTATGTTATAGATTGCTAGTCAAGGGACCAACTGACTTTCTAGTAGATCATTCCCTATAGTCAAATTGTAGCCCAATATAGGCAGTTCAAAGTAACCATGTCATTCCTGTAACATTGTTTTATCATTAGATAGGTGATAAATGATCATCAGTGGAAATTATAGAGATTTGATGGGAGATGTAAATCATGTAAACTGGGTCTTTGTTACTAAGCTTGTTAATTGATGCATGAATATTTATAAAGTAAATTAATCCTTTTTTTTTTGTTTTTGCTCTGACCTATAGAAAATGTAAGAGAAGAATTATCTACTAAGCATGCTATTGATATTGATATATTGGAGATGCTTAAAGTAGCCAAGTCTTTGACATTGCAAACATGACTTATTGGCCAATTTAAATCAACATTGATGTTGTTATCTTACCCCAAAAAGATGGGCTTCTGGTATCCAATATTTATGACACAATGAAAATGTTCAACTTGGTACACAAATCGCGTACCAGAATGCTTGTGAGCGTCATTTGTAATAAGCGACTCGAAGAACGAGGCTAAACATTACCACAAAGGAATACTAATAGAATAGATTGCAATAACCAGATGCCAAAGACTGCCATTCAATTTTCACTCTCCATGTATTTCGCTGAAAATAACTGATTAGAAATTAAAAACAGAAACGATTGAATGTAAATCAGTTTATATATTTTCATATAACATTATTATATGTGTTATAACCTATTTGCATCCATTTCTAGGTGCCAAAGAATAGCGATTTAGCTCCTTTAATAACCTTTCCATGCAGGATCTCCATTGTGGGAGCCATGGTGGTTAAGTGAGTAAAATGCTGACTTGCTAGCCTTGTGTTCACGGGTTCACTCCCGGTGGCCAAGAAAGTTCATCTGGATTTTCCGGTGTGATTTCCCCTTGTCAGTGGTGCAGGACGGAGGATCTGACAAGGACAGCTGTTTATTCATTTGGATGAGACATTGGCGTGCACATAAAAGATCCCTTGGCAGTTGGAATTTGATATAAGAGTAGGTCGTAGTGCAAAATTTTGCTCATAGCACACTGCATGGTGTATGCCTGTCTTCATTAGCCCAGTTGGAATAGGACGTTAAACCCCATTTCATTTCATTTCAATCTCCATCGTTACTGCTTCATTGATAACAATATTCTTCAAAAATAAGATTTAAAAAATGGCGGTTTATTTTATTGTCTGTCCTCTGTCAATTTGTATGTGTCTATTCAGAATTTTTGTAAACACACTTAAGTTCATAGATTTTGAGAAGTTTTGTCAAAACTCTC